CTCTTTTTCAGGCTGAAGAGTCCCAGGTCTCTCAGCCTTTCCTCATATGGCTTGCCGTGCAAGTCTCTGATCATATGGGTGGCCCTTCTCTGGACTCTCTCACAAGCTTTACTGCATCCTTGCTAAAGTGGGGCGCCCAGAACTGGACACAGTTCTCCAGCTGGGGTCTCACCAAAGCCAAGTAGAGTGGGAGAATCGCTTCCTTAGTTTTGCTGGAGATGTATCGATTGATGCGTGCCAGGGTATTGTTTGCCCTGCTGGCTACAGTGTCTCACTGCCGGCTCATATACATACTGTGGTCTGTTATTACCCCCCGGTCCCTTTCGTTCGTGGTGCTGGTCAGTTTGGCAATACCAAGCCTGTAGACGTGCAGGGGGTTGTTTGTCCCCAGGTGGAGCACTTCACATTTCTCAGTCTTGAACTTCATCTGGTTCCAACTCACCCAACTTGCTAGCCTGTCTAGATCCGCCTGTACTTGTAGCCTATCTTTAAGCGTGACCATGCTTCCCCATAACTTGGTGTCATCCGTGAACTTGGCCAGTGAGCTCTTTACCCCCACATTCAAATCATTGATAAAGATGTTGAAAAGTACTGGACCAAGTACCAACCGCTGTGGGACACCACTGGCCACTTCTCGCAAGGATGACACTGACCACTTCTTGATTAGGACTCACTGCTTGCTGGCCACTTCTCAATTAGGACTCTCAGGATCCTAGCCCGCAGCCAGGTTGGACACTCAAGCTGGTGACCTGCTTGGAGAAACGACCTTGCCGACTGCTGTTCCCTGTGTCGTGCATCAGGTGGACGTTCCTCATCTGCAGGGGAAGAGGTGCTAGGCTAGATTTCAGCACTGGCCCCTTGCTCCTGCCCATGCCTGGGCACCTCCCCGAGTCATCTGTGCTGAAAGCAAATGAGAGGCATCTTGTCTCGGCGTATGGCACCAGCTTGGACAGGTGTGGCCGGAGGCCTTTTTAAGCTGTATACTGTATGGTTTAAGATGTTTGGTTTGGCAAGCAGTTGTCATGGAGAGTGTCCAGATGTTCCTGAAGGCAGTGGTCAGGGCATTGCGATGTTTAAGAGACCTGAGTTCAAGACCCTCCTCTGCCCCAGGCTTCCTGTGTGCCTTTGGGCAAATCACTTCATCTCTCTTTCAGGGCCTGTTGGTCCAAAGGTTAATAGCCCTCCTTCACAGAGTTGGGGCCTCAAACAAGGAGATGCCCAGAATCTGCAGTAAGGGGGCAGACAGATGGGGTGGGCACAGATTTGGGGTGACCAGTGGAATGTCTCAGTCTGGACTTCTTTCTCCCCCATTGGTGGAGGTTGTTTGCAGGAAGAAGGTTGTTTGCAGCCTCCATCCCTGGTCTTTAAACAAAGGTGCATGGGTGGAAGGTGGTCAAACGCGTCCCCTCCCTCATTATCCCACATCCTAGCCTTTGCCTGGGGGCTGCTGCTAGTGCGGTGGGAGGCACTGTGCTCCAAGCCCCCTAATTCATTCCAAGCAGAGCTCTGTACGTAGCAGCGCAGCTGCGCTCGGTGTCCGGACATTGCAGCGTGGGTGGGGATGCAGCTCACCGGGCTTATTTATCAAGTGCGGGAACCTGTTCAGGTTTGTCACGAACAATCTCTCGTGGTGACTCATCGCTCTTTCCTCCTGCAGGCAAGGGGCGAGGGCTGCTTCTCTCCCACTTCCCCGGCTGTCCAGAGGAGACAGCTGGGTTTTCTTTGCAGCTTGCCCCAAATCAGGCAGATGCTTCAGCCCCTACTGCCCAGGAAGAGAAGCCTCCCATAAGTTGCAGTTTGCATCCCTGAATGCCTTTTGCCTGCTGTTTTGCTTTCTGTACTGGGAAGGAATGAAAAAGGGGCGGATGTAGACATGTCCCCAAGGAGGCAGCTGGTAATGGAAGGAAGAGCTACCAGCTTCTTGGGACAGGATCTGTCTTTGTTTTGTTCACGCAGCACTGGCATGCTGGGGTCCTAGCGTGTGCTTGGGGTTGCTAGCACAATATAAATGAGAAGTGTTCTGGTCCTTAGCTCAGAAGTCCCCCAAAGCTGGGGTAGGAGTGTCAAGACTTACAGTAAATAGCTGGGTCAGCCTGGTTTCCAGTGGATGTGTCTACCCCACAGAGGCTGCGCTGGGAGTGCTGGCTATTGGGCACTTCATGAACCCCTCCATTGCTGCTGGCCTCTGCAGCAGGCTGTAGGAGACCAAGGCCTGCAGGGGTCTGTGGTCTGAACCAGCTCCAGCAGTATCACAGGGAAGGGCACAAGGGCAGGGAGTCATGCCCAAAATTAATTAAGTACAGTTCTCAGAGGGGCTTCTGCTTCTGGGCAGCCTGAAGGGGTTTTGTTCTGTTGGACAAAGGGGGCAAGGAGCAGTTCTCTGTCCCCTAACTCCTGCCCCAGCACCCCGGTAGGAAATAAAAGCAGAGCTCTGACAGGAAAGGTGCTACGCCAGCAACATCTATTTTACAATCTCTTGTGTTTGCTTTTGTGCTGGTGACACATTGTCCAGCTGATATATGCCCAGCTGGTGAGCACAGAGCTAAGGTTTGGGGGGGGGGGGTGTACAGAAGCCAAGCAGGAAAACTGAGAAGTCCCTCTGGTCCTTGGCTCAAGTCCCCCAAAAATGGGGGTAGGGGTGGCTGGCTGGTAGTTGAGGAGGGGGGTGGATGAGAGGTGGGAGAGAAGAGATTGCTCTAGCAGCATCTCCCTGCCTCATGGACTGGCTGTGCTCCAGCAGCATCTCCCTGCCTCATGGACTGGCTGCTCTGTAACCTGCACCCCCTAAGGGATGCCACAGTCCTGCTGATGAATGACCAATTTATTGCAGGTGCCCACAGGATGAATCGGGGTCCCCTCACAACACGCAGAACCAGGGGGGGAACATTTTTACTGGCTGAGATCCATTCTTGTTGGCACCCAAACTCTGCTCAGTCCTTGGTGCCGACTGGCTAAGAAGTTAGTGATGCCACAAAGATGTCGGCTTCTCTCTTGGGGGGTGGGGAGGAAGGGGAGGACAGGGGGTTGGTTGTTCTTTATGCTCATGATCAAAATGATGGGTATAAACATGCCCCAGCTTTCAGCTGCAGAAGCTCCCAGGAAAGCAGTGACTCCTGACTGTCATTAGGATCTTGAGGAGGAGAACCAGCTGCTAGCTGTTAGGAGCTGCACAGAAGCAGGCTTTTTGAAGCACTGAGCTCTCTGGGTGCTGGCAGGGAACTTCGTGGGGCAGAGTACAGTTTAGTACTGACGTCTGGCAGCCTTGTAGACTTGTGGTGGTTGTTAAAAGCCGTGCCTGCCCCTTCTTTGTGTCTGGGTGATTGCGTATTCTGCCCTGGCTTTTAAGCCACCGCTATGCTCTGTTGCCATGTGAGCTTTGCAAACTTGATCTTAGCTCCGTAGCAGGGAATGTTGCTAATTACATCCTTGCACGGCCCCCCTCTGGTTCAGTATTGATCTTCAGCAGCATCTGGAGCATATGTAGTGAGCATACTAGGCACGTGACCCTCGTTGTCACCACCCTGGAGACTTGAGTTGCTTTTGCCCTCATTTGGCATCCTGCCCAGTTGTGTGAATGTGCTCCTCAGGTTGTGCTTGGGGTAGAGGGCTGTGGAGCATGGTGTGCGAGTGGTATGCCAGGGAGCTCTTGCTACCCAGGAGGAGGATGGCTTATTCAGGCGGGGGGGGGCATGGAAAGACGGGGGTCAAAGTAAGGGACTAGATGAGAAAGGGATGCCAGCTTCTCCCCTTGTCCTCCTGGGGTGGGGGGAGTTCTGGATTCACTGTTGGTCCTATGAGATGCATCAGACATATTCAGGAGCCCCCCAACCAGTGCCCTTTCTTCCTCTATCCTGTCTGCTGCATACAGCCCCTTTTTCCCCCTGAATTGTCCAGTCACAGTGAGATAGAGAGATACAATGAGGTGGGCCAAGGGGCTGTCAGCTGGGTGTGTGGAGTTACCTCTTTGATGCATTTCCTACAGGGGGGACTTACTAGGGGACAGTCCCCTGAGGGACAGGCCAGTGATAGGGAAAATGTGTAGGCCAGGCAATTGATGTCCCCAGTTCTTGTGATGTTCAGATCCAGGCCAAGAAGCCTTGTTAACCAGGGGTGGGTGAGGCCTGGAGCAGTTAGAGTAGATGTGAGGTTCCTGCTAGGATTTTTTGTCATGATGCAATTTATGATTAACAGCCAATTTTGTGGCCTCGGCCATTCTGCATGTGCCTGGTGTGAGCTGTGCCTTTTGGAAAGAGAATGCACCAGAGCTCCAGGGACAAGGATTAGGGAACCATAGCGTAGGCGTGTCTGCCATGGTCAAGCTGCCTCAGGCACTCGTTAAGCCATGCATTAATCTTGGTGACTAATCTCTTAGCTGTCAGCATCTGCTGTTGCCGCAGCAGTGAGCTCTACTGGTGGTGGGTCATGTGGTCAGCTAGAGAAATCAGGCATGCAAATTGGTCACACCAATTAGGTCTCCAGAAGTTAAAGTGGCTCCTGCCACACAGTGCCAAGGCAGGACTTGTGTGTTAGCATTAGTGCATCCTGTTACACAGTTATGCTTCTCTCCATTATATGGGTGTTCTCCAACAGCGCTTGGACCCCACAGTTGAGTACTCCACATGTGTTAACAAATTTATCCCCATAGCTCCTCACTATAACGATCCCATATTAACCACAGGGTACCTGAGTCACAGAGCTGCTAAGTCACTTACCCTTGACTGTAGATGTCACAGAGCTGCGTTTTTCAGTTTAACCACAAGACTAGATCCATTAACTCAGCTCCTTTTCAGACAGACTGAGTTGGCAGGGGCTTGATGGCACTAGCAGAGTGAATCACCCTTCTGCCCTGGTGCTGTGTTATTCTCCAAGGGGTGTTACTTTTCCAGAAGTGGCAGTGTTTTCCCCTTGCAGCTCCTGTACTCAGCAGCACTTCCCCACCTCCAGGGGCATCTGAAGGACACCAACTTCATTGTGACATTGTTTTCTCTTCCTTTTCCCAGCAGAGTCCTGCCCACGGAGCTTGGACTGTGCCCTGCAGCGGAGGGAGTTCTGTCCGCCCGGCGCTCACTCCTGTGGCCCCTGCCTCCCGCAGTTTCTGGAAGATGACCAAGGGAGATGTGTCCAGAGGAAGCGCGTACCTAGTGGTATGTATGCGTGTTTGTGTGGTCCTTCCTGCTG